TAGAATGACAACAATAAACCAAACCCAAACTTAGCAGGGAGAAAAGAAATATTAAAATTATTAAAGAGAAATAAACAAAAATTGAAGCCAAATAAATACAACATACATAAAAATACAACATCCAATCAAGATGAAAACCTTAAGCAATTGGGTATAGAAGGAATATTCCTCAACGTATTCAAGACAATTTGTAACAAACCCACAGGAAGCATCTTATTGAATGGAGAATAATTGGAATTATTTCAGTAAGACTTGGAACCAGACAAGGATGCCCACTCACACCATTGCTCTTTAATATAGTCTTGAAATTTTTAGCCAGAGCCATTAGGCAAGAAAATGAAATCAAATGTATACAAATTGGAAAGATGAAGTGAAACTATCCCTATATGCAGATGATTTTATATATAGGGGATACAATAGATTCCAATGAGAGACTACTAGAACTCACAAAAGCATTGGATAGGGGAGGTGCTGTGGGAGAATGGTTAAAGCCTCTGCCTGCAGTGCTGCCATTCCCATATGGGCACTGGTTTGAGTCCTAGCTGCTCCACTTCTGATCCAGCTCTGCTATGTCCCAGAAAAGCAGTAGAAGATGGCCCAAGTCCTTGGGCCCCGGCACCAGTGTGGGAGATTTGGAAGAGGCTCCTGGCCCTGACTTCAGATCAGCATAGCTCTAGCCATGCAGCCATCTGGGGAATAAACTAATGATGAAAGACCTTTCTCTTCCTCTCTACCTCTACCTCTTTGTAACTCTGACTTTCAAATAAATGAATAAATCTTTTTTTACAAAAGAGTTTGGAATGCTGGTACCATTGGCTAATCCTCTGCCTGTGGTGCTGGCGTTCTCTATGGATGCCAGTTCTAGTCTCAGTTGTTCCTTTTCCACCCTAGCTCTTTGCTGTGGCCCTGGAGGACAGTGGAGGATGGCCCAAGTGCTTGAGCTCCTACACCCTCATGGGAGACCGGAATAAAGCACCTGGCTCCTGGCTTTGGATTGGTACAGCTCTGGCCGTAGTAACCATTTGGAGAGTGAATCAATGGAAAGAAGATCTTTCTCTCTGTCTCTCTCTCACTGTCTATAACTCTACCTGTCAAATAAAGAGTTTGGTAAAGTGGCAAGATATAAGATCAACATAGAAAATGTCAACATCTTTTGAATACACAGACAATGCCATGGCTGAGAAAGAACTTTTGAGAACAATCCCATTCACAAAAGCTACAAAAGGAATTCATACCTTGGAATAAATTTAACCAATGATGTAAAGATCTCTTTGATGAAAATTACAAAATATTAAAGTAACAGAAGAAGATATTTCAAAATGGAAAATTCTTCCATTTTCATGAATTGGAAGAAGAAATATCATCAAAATGTCCATACTACCAGAAGCAATTTATAGTCTCAATGTGATTCCAATCAAAACACCAAGGACATTCTTCACAGATGTAGAAAAAAACGATGCTGAAAATCATATGGAAATAATAGGAGATTCCAATAGCTTAAAGCAATCATATGCAACAAAAACAAAGTGAGAGGCATTAGTTTTCTTTTTTTTCAGATTTTATATTTTATTTAATTTTTTAAAAGATTTTATTTATTTGAAAGGCAGAGTTACAGAGAGACAGAGAGAGAGAGAGCAATTCCATCCTCTGGTTCACTCCCCAATTGACTGCAATGACCGGAACTGTGCTGATCTGAAGCCAGGAGCTCCATATGGGTCTCCCATGGCAGGTGCAGGGGCCCAAGTTGGCCATCGTCCACTCCCCGCAGACATCACCCCATCTCCTGTGTTTATCTGGCGGCTTGGCCGTGGACCCCATGGCTGACAGTGACGCAGCTCTGACACACTTGTCCCTGCTCTTGACAGACAAGACCCCAGAGACAGCGGGTGCTCAGCTTAGCGGTTAAGACCTTGCTTTTCTTTCTCCTCCTGAAGATTTGTGTATTTATTTGAAAGGCACAGCTATGCAGAGAGAGGGAAAGAGGTCTTCCATCTGCTGGTTCATTCCCCAAGTGGCGGCAATGGCCAGGGCTGGGCCAGGCCAAAGCCAGGAGCTGGGAGCTCTGTTCAGGTCTCCCATGTGGCTGGTAGAGCCCAGCACTTAGGCTGTCCTCCATGCCTTCCCAGGCACATTAGAAGGGGGCTGGAATGGAAATGGAGCAGCCAGGATGTGAACTGGTGGTGTGACAGGTGGCAGCTTAACCTCCTCTACCGCCGTGCTGGCCCTAACACCTGCTAGGACATCTGCATTCTAGGTCCAGTCCTGGGTCCCCCCGACTCAGCTCCCGACCGACGCCCACCCTGGGTCCTCCCCGACTCAGCTCCCAGCTGACGCCACCTTGGGTCCCCCTGACTCAGCTTCCTGGGTCCCTCTGACTCAGCTCCCAGCTGACACCCACCCTGGATCCCCCGACTCAGCTCCCAGTCGATGCCCACCCTGGCTCCCTGCCACCCGCGGGGGAGCCCACACAGAACTCTGAGCTTCGGCTCCTTCAGCCTTCCCAGGCACCCGGGGGTGACCCAGTGGATTCGAGCTCTGCCTCTCACACTGAGCATGAGCTAAAGAGAACACAAAACTCCAAGAACCAAGGCTGCAGGCCCAGTGCAGAGGATTCCACTTAGATTCCCAAGGGGCCTGAGCAGCCTGGCTTTGTCTGGGCCAAAGCTCCAAGGTTGGGCGCATTTGCGACTCCCAGCCTGTGCGCGGGCTCCCTGTGCTCTGCCCCAAGCAGAGAGGCACTCGGGCCCAATGCTAGTGCACTCTGTTCTTGTTTTGTCTGAACCCCCTCTGCCGGACCCCGCCTGGCCACACCACCCTCTTCTGGCTGGACGTTCCGGCGGCACTGCCACGGCCCCAGCCGAGGGTGCAGGCTGCTCCGCGAAAAACACAGAGACAGAGTCGCTCCGCAGCGGGGCAGCGGACATGGCCTTTAAGTTTCTGCGCGTGCCAGGCATGGCTCTGCCGGGACTGGGCCAGCAGATCCCAGAGGCCCTGAAGGGAAGGGGGCTGCCCAGCTCTGGGCCTGCGGGGGAGGGTCCGCGGGTACGTGGCTGCGTGTGCTTGAGCCAGTTACTCATCCTGTCTGTGCCTCTGCCCGTTCCTCAGCTGCGAATCACAGGAAGTCAGCTTGTAAGGGTCAAAGAGATGACACGGGGCTGGCACTCAGCCCAAAGGGCCGCTCCCAGCCCACAGGCCATGCCCCTGACCCATAGGCCACGACCCCGGCCCAGGCCACGCCCCCACCCCACAGGCTGCTCCCCTGTCCCACAGTGAGCCCTTGGGTCCAGTGCCGGGCTCTCACTGCTGTTGCCAGCTCCCTGCCAGTCCACACCCTGCGAGGCAGCGGTGACAGTTCAAGTGCCGGTGCCCCTGCCACCCGCACAGGAGACCCGGATGGAGCTCCAAGCTCCCGGCCTTAGCCTGGCCCAGCCCTGGCTACAGGCACTGGAGTGAACCAGTGTGTGAAAGACCCCTCTGTCACTCTGCCTTGCAGAAAGATAAGGTAGGTAAGTGAATGAATACAACTTTAAGGATGTTTAAATCCGTGGACTTAGAACATGCCTGGGCTTCCTTTAATCAGCCGAGGGCCCAGGAGAGAAAGGCCCGAACCCCCGGGGCAGGGCTTGCAGGTGGCCTCTCCCTGGGCCTCCACACCCACGCGCACCCCCACAACAGCCCCCCCCGCAGGGCGAGGACAGTGCTTGCTGGGAAAGTGTGTGGGGCTGCAGGCCGTTTTGCACCCAAATAATCTTTAAAACATTTTCAAGACTTTATTAGATTTGAGCAGCCAAGACAGGGAACCCCCACTGCTGGTTCAGTCCCCAGATGGCCACGGCGATGCCCACAGGGGAGCCCTCCCTGCTGCCCTTCAGGACTTGCCCCAGCCTCATGATGTGGGGTGTGGCTGCCGCAAAGAGGGGGCCCATGGCAGCCCCTGCCCTGGGCAGGTGTACAGGCACCATCTGCCCGCAGTCACTCAGCATCAAGTTCAGGCCCCCAAATCCCATCGGAATCAAGGGCGCAAGACTCGGGTTGGATTATCCTGGGCTAGAATTCCTCTCCAGCCAGGGACCAAGAAACCGGAGTTACTGCTCCTGGGCAGGCAGCTCCATGCAGAGGGAAGCAACACCCCCCCACACACACACACCCATAACTCCAAAGCCTGGGGGGGGGGCAGATGCATTGGGTTTTACTTTTCAGGGCGGGTCCCTTTCGTGTGAGGCTTGGGGGTGACCTTCTGGCTCCAATCTGTCCTCACTGCCATATGGCCACTCTGAGGGGTCAGTGCCTCCCAGGCAGGGATGAGCCCTCAGTGTCAGGGTCACTGCTGGGCCCTCCCTTGGCCCCTACAAGGAGAGAAGTGATGCTGGCGTGACACACACACAGCCCCCTAAGCCCAGCCCGCTTCCCGCTGAGCCCCGTCTGAGAGGGGGCTCTGCCTCCTGCCTGTCTCAGCCAGGCAAGGTCTGGGACTCAGGTGCCCTCTGGGCAGGATGGTAACCTCCCTACCAGGCCACTCCTGAGTCCACAGTGCTGAGCACATGCACAGAACAATGACCTGACCATTTTCTGCCAGGACGCACCTCTTACATTTTTCTATGTATTTATTTAAATGGGAGACAGGCAAAGTCAGAGACAGAGACCCCTGCCTGCTAGGTCACTCCCCAGACACCAGACGGCCAGGGCTGGGCCAGGCTGAAGCCGGGAGCCAGGAGCTCCATGGAGTCACAGGGGTGGTGCAGGGGCCCAGGGTGCGCAAGCATGGGGGCTAGCTGGGGCTGGCTGGATGCAGAGCCGGGACCCGCGGAGCCTTCACTGCTGCAGCCAGTGCCCACCCACTGCCCCGCAGGCGCCAGGGGATGGCCACGGCTGCCCCACCCCCGGCCCTGCCACTCCGCCTCCTCTGCCAGGCAGGGCAGTGGGGTGGGGGAGCGCGAGGGGCCACAGGTTCTGTCGGCCTCTCCCCAGCCCCTCCCGGTGCACTGAACTTCAAACCGACCCTACCAGAGAAATGCAAGACCCTGGTGGCCCCGGAGATCAGCATCTCGCTGGACCAAAGCGAGGGCTCCCCGCTGTCCAACGACTTCCTGGACACGCCGACAACCTGGACATGAACGTGGACAACATTGAGACCCCCGACGAGATGGACTCGCTCGAGTTCCTGGGCAACGGCAATGAGCTGGAGTGGGAAGGTAAGGGCCACGGGGCTGTCCCAGTCTTGGCCACGGGCGTGGGGTGCGGGGTCCGCGGGGGCCACGGAATGGCGCGGGGTTCATGCGCACCTGCACCTGTCGCCACCGCGCGGGTCTTCCCCAAGATCCTCGAAGGGGACCACGGCCCGCGGCCTGCCCGGCTTTTCGAGCGCTTGCTCTGGGCGCTGGGGACGCGGGGGGATACAGCGGGGACGTGGCGGGAGGTGACACGGCTCTGCCCACAGGCGTGGGCAGCCATGACACCGAGGGCAGGGCAGAATGTGGGTGTGGCTGGCACGGAGCAGGGGGCAGGGACGCTGCTCCAATCCTAGGGAGCCCAGGACGACCCGGCCCTTGTCCACACTGCCGGGGAGGTGGAAGCTCTGGCCAGGGTAACCGAGTGGGGTCCTTGGAAAGGATGCCCGGCACAGGCCTGGGGGGTGGTGAGGGGTGGAGTGGCCGAGCAGGAGCTAGGGGAGAGGGAGGCAGGCGCAGGTCTCACAACCCCAATGGCCACAGTGAGGGCTCTGGCGGGACACGCGGAGCAGGATCGGCCAGGTCTGATGTCCACGCGTGTGGGACAATCTCACGGTCACGGCCAGCAAGGAGCGGCAGGTGGGGGCGGGGCCCAGGGAGGAAGCAGGAGGGACTTCCCTCCAGGATTTCGGAGAGCAGTAAACAGATCCTCTCTGACAATCGCACTCTTCCTAGGTTTTCATTTGCTTTTCTGATTTATTTGAAACGCAAAGTCAGAGAGAGAGAGAGCGAGCAAGCACGCTCCCATCCGCTGGGTCACTCCCCACATGGCCACAACAGTCGGCGCTGGGCCAGGCTGGAGCCAGGAGCAGGAGCTCCATCTGGGTCTCCCACGCAGGTGCAGGGCCCCCGGCACTTGAGCCCTCACCGCTGCCCCCAGGGAGCGCATGGGCAGGGAGCTGGATCCGAATCCAGTCTGACCCAGGATGCCCCTGTCTCAATCTCCTCACCAAACATGGGTCCCGAGGTCCCCACTGGACGCGGCCCCCAGCGACGGCGCCCAGCGCTCAACGGCCGAGCAGAGCCCAAGAGCCCGAGAGCCTGAGAGCCGGAGGCGTGAGCGCTGTGTGCGGGACTCCAGGGCAGGGGAGGCCAGGAGGGCTCCCGCTTCCCCCATCAGGTCCTGGGTCCCTCCCCAGCTCTGCTCTGGACTCAGCCTGCATGGGTGGCCCGGGTGCTCCCGGCCAGCACCGGAAGACCCTGATGGCGCTTGCGCGCCCCAGTGCGGCAGATCCAGGGGGCCCGGATGGCGCTCCCGCCCTAGCATGGCAGGTCTGGGGAGTGACCGGAAGGGAGCTGGGTCTGACTCCCATGGCACAGCTGTGGACCCCAGTTCCCCCACTGCTGTCAGCAAGGTGGCTCTGCCCAGGGGTGGGGATACGGAGTAGCACACCATGAACCCCCAGGCCCTCTGGCTGCTCGCGTCAGTTAGGGGCAAGAGACCCAGGAAGTGTTAGGAGTCAAATGTCCGGGAGGCGCAATCTCGGAAGGCTTTCTGGAGGAGTTGGCACTTGAGCCAGGTCCTGTCAGGGCACAGGCGGCCAGGTCGGGAGAAGGAAGGCAGCCGCGAGAGGCCAGCGCATCCAGCCCAGGGGTGCTGCTTCCAGATGACACCCCGGTGGCCCCCGGCAAGAACATGCCTGGGGACAGCGCGGACCTGTTTGGGGACGGCGTGGCAGAGGACAGCGATGCGGCCAATGGGCGCCTGTGGCTCACAGTCATCATCGGGGAGCAGGAGCACCGCATCGACCTGCACATGATCCAGCTGCACATGAAGGTGGTCACGCACGGAGGTGACGTCCCCGGGTACCTGTGCTCACCCACGGAGGTTGACCCCTGTACCCATAGTCACCTCGGAGGTCGGATCCCCCCATACCTGTGGTCACCCCAAAGGTCGACCCACCCCCGTACCCGTGGTCACCCCAGAGGTCGGACCCCTGTACCCGTGGTCACCCCGGAGGTCGGACCCCTGTACCCATGGTCACCTCGGAGGTCGGACCCCTGTACCCATGGTCATCCCGGAGGTCACCCCTCCTGTACCCGTGGTCACCCTGGAGGTCGGACCCCCCCATACCTGTGGTCACCCCAGAGGTCGGACCACCCCCTGTACCCGTGGTCACCCCGGAGGTTGGAGGTTGGCCCCCCTGCCAGTCTGGCAGCCCCTCCGTGCCCCACCACAGCGGAGGGTGGAGCCTGCATGGCTCCGAGCTCTGAGACGGCCGCCCTCGGCCGCCTCTCCCCAGGCAACCACGGCGAGGGCCTCAACGCCATCATCGTCTTCACCTCCTGCTTCCTCCCCAACAGCAGCTGTGCTGACTACCACTGTGTCATGGAGAACCTGTCCTGTGAGCAGGCGGCGGGGCGGGGTGGGCGGGGCAGGGCAGGCGCGGGGCGTGGCTGCTCACCCAGGCTCTCTGCCCTGCTGGCCCCACTCACCAAGCCTGGGCCTTCCCCTGGACCCCTGTCTCGGCAGCTGCTGTCTCCACCACACATGTCCATCACCAACACTACCATCACCTTCATCATCACCACCAACACTACCGTGAGCACCAACACTACCACCCTGATCCCCATCACACGTCTGTCACCACCACCACCACCACACGCCGGTCACACCCGTCACCGCCTCCCACGCCGCAGCCACAGGCCGGGCGCCCACCACATCCACACCCGCAGCCGCCCGGACAGGCTCAGTCCCCGGCCCCAGGTCACAGTTTCACGGGGAGGATGAGTGACAGTTGTCCATCATTGCCACTCTCACTCCTGGACCCCCAGAGTTCCACCCAGCACAGGCGGCCAGTGGGGCGGGGACCCCCAGGTACCCGGTGTGCTGAGCTGGGTGGTCATGTCCACCCCCAAGGCCCGCCCAGAGGGGGCCCAAGGGGCTGGAACACGACCCCTGCCCCAGATCCCCCGACCCTTCCCAGAGCCCCCTGACCCTCCCCAGAGCCTGAGGCACCCTCCACAGAGCCCGTGGGCCCCCTCCACCAGAGCCCCCGACCCTTCCCAGAGACCCCCGCCCCTCCCCAGAGCCCGCGGCCCTCTCCTTCAAGCCCCACGCCTCGCCCGAGGGGGGACCCCGATCCTTGAGGCCCACGGGGGAGGCCCGGGCTGGGCGCGGCCACCCTGAACACGACCCGCTGCCCCACGCAGCTAAGTCAATAGCAACCTGGAGCTCCTGGTGGCCGAGGACTACATGATACTTTTCTGAATGGCGCCACACCTGGCGCAGGATGCTGGGCCTCGGCTGGTGAGGGCGTGGGTGTGGGCGCACTGCCTGGGGTGCTCCGCACTCTGATCCACCCAGGCCCTCAGCTGCCCTTGGCTTGTAGGAAGCTTTTGTTTTCAAGACATACTACAGTGCAGTTATAATCAAAAGTCTGGTACTGACAAAAATGAAAAAGAAAAAAAGAGGTAAAACATTAGACCAATGGAACAGAATAGAAACACCTAAAATAAATCCATGGGCCTCCAACCAACTTAAATTTGACAAAGGAGCTAAAATCAATCCCTGCAGCAAGGTCAGTCTCTAAAGCAAATGTTTTGGGACTACTGGGTCTCTACATGCAGAAGTAAGAAATAAGACCCCTACCCTACATCTACACAAAATCCTTCAAAATGGATCAATGTCCTAAACCTAGAGGACTATCAAATTACTAAGGAACATTGGAGAAACTCTGCAAGACATTGGCCTAGGGAAACACTTCTTGGAAAAGGCCCTAGAAGCACACACAATCAAAGCCCAAACTGACAAATGGGATTACATCAAGTTGAGAAGCTGTGCACTGCAAAGGAAACACTAAACAAAGTAAAGAGGCCATTGACAGAATGGGAGAAATTATTTGCAAACTAGGAAAATTATAAAGGATTAACATCCAGAATCTATAAAGAGCTCAATAAACTTGACTACAACAAAACAATCCAGTTAAGAAATGTGCAAATGACTTAAACAGGCATTTTTAAAAGAGGAAATTAAAATGGCCAATAGACACATGAAAAAATTCTCAGGATCACAAGCCATCAGGGAAATGCAAATCAAAACCACAATAAATTTTCACCACAACCCAGTTAGAATGAATCTCATACAGAAATCAACAAAAAACAAATGCTGGCAAGCATGTGGGGAAAAGGTACCCTAATCCACTGTTAGTGGGAATGTAATCTGGTACAGACACTTTGGAATACAGTATGGAGATACTTCAGAAATCTGAACAAAGACCTACCATATGACCCAGTCATCTTGCTCCTAGGAATTTACCCAAAGAAAATGAAATCAGCATATGAAAATGTTTTCTGTAACTGCATGTTCATTACAGCTCAGTTCACAATTGATAAGATCTCCCTGATCTGTGGTAACTAATAGAGCACCTAACAGGTAATCTACAGAAGTGAAATGACACTGTGATAGGCTATGATTTTGAACAGCCCTTATCTCAACTGTTGAACACGTTTTTTTAATATTGTTTATTGAGCTGTTTTGTTTCTTTTGCTCTTGTTGAGTTTCTTGAACTCGTGCAGAATTAATCTTATGTGTGTAAAGTTAACTGAATAGATCTTTGTAAAAAATAAGAATGGGAATAGGAGAGGGAGGAGGAAGAAGGGTGGGAGTGCAGTTGGGAGGGAGAGTAGGGTGGGAAAGACCACAATGTTCCTAAATTTGTACTTATGAAATGTGTGAAATTTTATGCATTAAAAAAGGTTTCTAGGTAGAATATGTTACATTCTTTTTAATTTAAAAATATTTGTTTAACCGGGAGACAAAGAAAGAAACAGAGAACTCCCATCTCCTGATTCACCTCCTACATGGCTTCAGTAGCCAAGTGAGAGGTTAAAACCAGGAGCTAGAAACTGAATCCAGGTCTGTTCTGTAGGTGGTAAGAACCCAGTTACTTGAGTGATGATGGATTAATCCCATGGTCTACATTAGCAAGAAATTGCAGTCAGGAGTTAGAGAAGACTCAAACTGAAGCATTCTGATATGGGGTATAACCTCTTAACCAGTGTCTTAACTACTAAGCCATATATTATATATATAATATTATATATATTATATATTATATATAATATATATTATATTATATTATATTATATTTATATTATAAATATAAATATATTATATAATATTAAATATATTATATATATTTAATATATATAATTTACAATACATAAGATATGGAATCTACCCCAGTGTCCATCAACAGATGACTGGATAAAGAAAATGTTCGTATACAAGAAGGATGGCTACTCATCCATAAAAAGACTGAAATCCTATCTTTTGCCACAAAGTGGATGTCATTTGACACCATAATGCTCAGTGAAGTAAGCCAGACTCAAAAAGATAAATAGCACATTTTTGCTGATTTGTGGTAGCTAATATATATAGTACAGAGCTAAAATATATATGTTGGAAATTTATGTCTTGGCATTTTATTATTTACAAGAATTTTCTGTATGCCTTTTGAACATTGTTCTTTCTACTTTTAATTTGTTCATCCCTTTATTCAGTGGAACATTAAGCTATGATTATAAAGTAAATTTAAAATGTCATATTATATATAAATATATAATAATATTTAATATATAATTATAATTAATATAAAATATAATATAATATAATATAATATATAAAATAATATTATATAATATTATTATATTATATTATATATATTATATATATAATTATATATAATTATATATTATATATTATATATAATTATATATTATATATTATAATATATATATAATTATATAGATAATATAATATAATATATATATTTAATATTATATAATAATAATATATTTAATATATTTAATATATATAAATATATATATTAAATATACATATTATATATATATATATATATATATATATATATATATAGAAACACTGCAAGACATTGGTATTGACAAAGACTTCATGATAAGACCCAAGAAGCACAGGCAATAAAAACAAAATATATATTTAATATATATATATTTAAATGATTTAATTATTTATTTGAAAGTAAGAGTTACAGAGAGGGAGAAAGGGTTAGAGGAGGAAAGAGGAGAGAGAATGAGAGAGTGAGAGAGAGATAGTATCTTCCATCTACTGATTCACTCTTCAGTGGTAGCAAAGGTCAGGGCTGAACCAATTACAAGCTAGGATCCAGGATCTACATCTGAGTCTCCCACATGGGTGGGAGGAGCCCAAACACTTTTGCCACCTTCTACTAGTTTTTGTAGGCCATTAGCAGCAAGCTGGATCAGAAGTGGAGCAGCCAAGACATGAACCAATGCATATATAGGATACTGGGATTGCAGGCAGTGTTTTTATTTGTTACACCATGATACCGGTCCTTATGTTATATTTTTAACATCGCTCTCACAGGAGGAGAGAAGAAATATTTTCAAAGAAGGCTCATTTGACAACACAGACTGTAAGAAATTGAGAAACGTCACTTTTTAAAAATTTTATTTAATAAATATAATTTTTGAAAGTACAACTTTTGGATTATAGTGGGTTTTTCCCCCATAACCACCCTCCCACTTGCAAACCATCCCATCTCCTACTCCCTCTCCCATCCAATTCCTCATCAAGATTCATTTTCAATTATCTTTATATACAGAAGATCAACTTGTATACTTGCTTCGCATGTAGGACCTCTGTCCTTAATTTGTTGTACTGTGCGAATTAACGGTAAAATTACTACTGAAACAGTACTTTATATTTGTGTGTCTGTGTGGCTGCAGTCTGTTGAAATCTTTACTTAGTATATACCAAGTTGATCTTCTGTATATAAAGATAATTGAAAATGAATCTTTTTTTTTTTACAGGCAGAGTGGACAGTGAGAGAGATAGAGAGAAAGGTCTTCCTTTTCCATTGTTTCACCCTCCACTGGCTGCTGCAGCCAGCACTCTGCGGCTGGCGCACCATGCCAATCCAAAGCCAGGAGCCACGTGCTTCTCCTGGTCTCCCATGTGGGTGCAGGGCCCAAGCACTTGGGCCATCCTCCACTGCACTCCTGGACCATAGCAGAGAGCTGGACAGGAAGAGGAGTGACTGGGACAGATTCCGGCTCCCCGACCAGGACTAGAAACTGGGGTGCCAGCATTGCAGGTGGAGGATAGCCTATTCAGCCATGGTGCCGGCTGAAAATGAATCTTGATGAAGAATTGGATGGGAGAGGGAACAGGAAATGGGATGATTTGTGAGTGGGAGGGAGGTTATGGGGGGCAAAACTGCTATAATCCAAAAGTTTTACTTTCAAAATTTATATTTATTAAATAAAAGTTTAAAAAAAGTCTCTCATTATCAGGAGTGAGACTGTTCAGGTATCAATTTATTCTCAAGTTGAATTAACTATAAACCACTACTGATTAGATAAAGAAAAGCAAATGCCAGTGACATGTAGCCTTTTTGACATGTCTAGATATTTTTAGAAATATCTTAAAGACATTTTAGGCTTAAAGATTTCTGGTATGACCTACAGGCCTAAGGACAGATTATTTAATTATTTAAAATAGTCATAGAGAGAAAGGGAGACACAGATCTTCCATCTGCTGATTCACTCCCCAGATGATTGCTTCATCTGTGTCTCTCACAAGGGTTGTAGGGGCCCAAACACTTGGGCCATCTTCTGCTTTTCCCAGGCCATTTGTAAGGAATGGATCAGGAGTGATGCATCCAGGACATAAACCAGTACCTACATGGGATGCCCACATCACAGGCAACGACTTTATCCTTTGTGCCACAATGTCAGCTCCCCAGCAACATCTCTTGATACCATGTTGAGTACAGCAGAAAATATATTCAACCTATTGTTCCTTACAGGTAGGTCATTTCACATCCAAAAATTCTTTAAGGATTTATTTGTTTATGTGAAAGTCAGAGTTACACAGAGAGAAGGAGAGACAGAAAGAGATTTTTGATACATTGGTTCACTCTCTAGATGGCCACAATAGCCAGAGCTGGGCTAAGCTGAAGCCAGACATCTGGAGTTTCTTCTGGGTATCCCATAAGTGTGACACAGGCCCATACACTTGGGTCATCTTTTGCTGCTTTTCCCAAGCTATTATCACAGAGTTGGATCAAAAGTGGGGCATCTTGAACTTGAACTGACACCCATACATGATGCTGGTATAACAGGCAGTGACTTAACCTGGCAGCCCCAGAGACAGCAATTCTAAGTGATGTTATTATGTTTAGTGGTTCTATAAAGGTACTCCCATCACCTTATTTTTATGTAAATTGCCTTTACTGACATATCTCTTTTTTAAAAAAGATTTATTTATTGGAAAAGCAGAGTTACAGAGAGGCAGAGGCAGAGTGGGAGAGAATATCTCCCATCTGCTGGTTCACTTCCCAAATGGCCGAAATGGCTGGAGCTGGGCTGATCCATAGCCCAGAGCCAAGAGCTTCTTCCAGGCTTCCCATGTGGATGCAGGGGCTCAAGGAACTGAGCCATCTTTCACTGTTTTCCTAGGCACATTATCAGAGAGTTGGGTCAGAAGTGGAGCAGCCAGGACTCAAACCAGTGCTATACTGGATGCTGGCACTGTAGGAAGTGGTTTTACCAACTGTGTGACAGTGGCAGGCCCTGAGCCATCACTTTTAAAATATATCTGTTGGAAGATGAATGTAAGCCTTTGCTTTTCTCTTCTACTCTAATATGCAACATTATTTCTTAGCTCCCATGCATGGTAAGGTTAAAATGTGGCAAACCTCTTTACATAGATTTGTCAAGCAAGTGTGGAAGGTAATTTAGGTAATAAGTAGAAATTATTACAACCAATTTTTATCAATAACTTTTTCTTTTTTACTGGCATCAAACTCAAAAGCTACTGTCTGGTTTCTGATCTGTGAACTTCTCTAAAGTAGTTTCATCCCAGTGTAAGGGAAATTATGATCAGCCCACACATCAAAAATGGTAGTATACCCATTAGCCTCTTCAGTACTAGCATATACAGCTTCATGGTAGCATGTAGTGAAATGTTCAGCAGTACCAACTGCCAAACCAGTGTCAGCGGATAGCACAGTCAGTCTTAAAAAGAGACAGCACCCCCATTAAAAGAAAGTTGCAAAAATTTTGCTCAGTTCTTGCCAAGTGAACCCCCTCTATCAAATTATAATTGAATTGTATTTAAACTTGTATCAGACAAATGAATTCCTAATATCAAAAAATAATATTTGATGTTTGCCTCCACTTGGAGGCTTAATTTTGGTGCTGAGTTATCATGCTAAAATTGAAAATTTTAGTCTACTTAACAATTTTTACATACCCAATTAGAGATGTAAGGTATACGCTGATATTCAATATAAACCAGTGGAACAATATGGTAATCATTCGACTTTTTAGTCCAAAACCAAGTAATTCCCAACTCCATCAACTTTTTTTTTTTATTTTTTGACAGGCAGAGTGGACAGTGAGAGAGAGAGAGACAGAAAGGTCTTCCTTTGCCGTTGGTTCACCCTCCAATAGCCGCCGCAGCCGGCGCACCACGCTGATCTGATGGCAGGAGCCAGGTACTTATCCTGGTCTCCCATGGGGTGCAGGGCCCAAGCACTTGGGCCATCCTCCACTGCACTCCCTGGCCACAGCAGAGAGCTGGCCTGGAAAAGGGGCAACCGGGACAGAATCTGGCACCCCAACTGGGACTAGAACCCGGTGTGCTGGCGCCGCAAGGTGGAGGATTAGCCTAATGAGCCATGGCAGTGGCCCTCCATCAACTTTTGTCATCCCCTTGGGGCCATTCCTCAAAGGTTTTCCAAGTAGATTCAACTTCTTAGTGCAATGAAAGAAGGGACGTCTAAAGTCAACCACTCTGTCACTCACCTGGAAAAAGTATCCAAATTATAAAACCCTGAAATAATTTATTACCAAATTTAGAATTTAAATGAAAACAAAAGTTTGCTTGTAAAAGCCTGAAAGAAAAAGACAACATGCATTCAAAAGCTAAGATGAAGACACACATTTTTATCTACACAGGCACTGGCAGACACAACTTAATTAACTTTACTCGTAAGACATACCCCATTCTACACTTTCTCATTCACTAATCAATGAGGTACCAATATTCAAGACTGGGAAATTTAATATTGAAAAATAATAATAAAACCTAAAATTGAAGCTGTTCTCTCACCCCCTTCAGAAAATTATGGTAGGTATTGTGTGAAATGTTAATATATTTAGAGACTTTACCATCTATGGTGGTTATTTATTATTTATTTATTTGACAGGCAGAGTGGACCGTGAGAGAGAGAGACAGAAAGGTCTTCCTTTTCCATTGGTTCACCCCCCAATGGCCGCTGTGGCTGGCGCACTGCACTGATCCAAAGCCAGGAGCCAGGTGCTTCTCCTGGTTTCCCATGCAGGTGCAGGGCCCAAGCACTTGGGCCATCCTCCACTGCACTTCCGGGTCACAGCAGAGAGATGGACTGGAAGAGGAGCAACTGGGACAGAATCCAGTGCCCAACTGGAACTAGAACCCAGGGTGCCAGTGCCACAGGCAGAGGTTTAGCCTATTGAGCCATGGCACCAGCCTATGGTGGCTTTTTTAAGAACAAAAACCGTGTTCCACTTACTGGTTCTGTGATAAAATTATCACTAGGTAAATAGCATTGTCAGCAGACTTTGCAAATTAACAAACAAATCTTGGCTATCAACTGACATATCTTCTTCATACCAAAAGACTCCTGAAGTTTAAAACAATCTCTTTTATTTCAGAACAAATGCTCCAGGCCAAAGTACAAATATTGTGCGGCACTCAACGCAACACCGACAGAGAAGAGCTCCATGGAAATTATGAAATCCACCAGCAAAGCAATTCTGTACAAAGTGCATTGCATGCAAAGGTCGACTCTGCATGATTAGCCCTTCCTCCTTGATGTCAGTTTCTCAATGCAGCCACAGTTTAAGTTGTAGTGCATTGACTCCATTTAAATAATATCTGAATAGCCTCTTATCTGGAACAAAACCAAGATTTTCATAAAGTTTCAAAGCAGACTTATTTGTTATTTCTGTTTCCAAAGCAACTTCATCACAGTCTCCTTCAACCATGGCATAAATAGCTTTCTTAAGCAAGTTAGTACCCATGCCATTACTCCTGGGTTTGGAATCCACAGCTAACATGGCTATATAACCTCTGCAGAACATCTTTTTGTGCATATCCAACTTGCAAACGATGACAGCTACACACTCCTCCCCTATGATGGCCAAGAAGCACAGCTGTGGCCAGCTGTGGATAAAATCTCTATAAGTATAAATGGAGTAGGGTTCAGACAGATCTTTGGTGCTCAGTCTCATCACATCAAGCATCTGGAGCTCAGATTCCTATTGGAACTACCCTATCCTATCATCGGATCCTCCCCTGGCTCAACCTCCCTGCCTGAGGGGCTTCTTAAACTGCAGCCTGAGGTCAGGGACAAAGATAGCAGCCACACCTCCTCCTGCTCCTCCTCGCCCTTGGCCAGTCCAGTCCCTTGTGGGCCACCATGGGATCGCTCGATGCCATTTCTGCTGGGCTGGGGGGTGCAGTTCTTGCACCCCTGGAGCGGGAGTGAGGGGGCCTCTTGCCCGAGGGTACCCAGCTCCTTTTGTTGCAGTCACTTTGGAGCTCCTGCCAGGGTGGCCGTGCACACCCTGGACCTTGCTGTTGAGGGTGGTGTCCGCCCTGAGGGGTTGCAGTTCGGGGCTGATCAATCCATGGAGCTGCGGCTGCTGTGGCAGTGGCTGAGGGCAGTGGAGGCACAGATCCCCTTGGCAGCCCGCTGGGTTCCTGCAACCGCTTTCAGGCTCACAGCAGGCAAGTGTAGTTGGGAAGGGGCAGCAAGGCTGGGCTGCAGCCAGGGCTGGAGGTGCTGGAGGTGGGAGGAGGCCGCTAGGCCCAGGCAGGACCTCTGCCCTCCCCTCACTGGTCCCTCCTGCCGCCACCTCCCTCACCACCAAAGCTCTCACTCATGAACCCATTTTCAATTGAAAATGCTGTTAGTCGGGGCAGAGCCTTGGCTCACTTGGTTAATCCTCTGCCTGCAGTGCTGGCATCCCATGCGGGTGCAGGTTCTTGTCCTGGCTGCCCTTCTTCCAGTCTAGCTCTCTGCTATGGCCTGGGAAAGCAGTAGAAGATGGCCCAGCTTCTTGGGCCCCTGCACTTGCATGGGAGACCAGGAAGAAGCTCCTGGCTCCTGGCTTCAGATTGGCGATGGGAGCTGATCTGATACACTGCCATCTATCAGGGAAGGTGTGTATGTGTGTTATACTGCCATGTATCAGTGAAGGAAGGGTGTGTGTGTGTGTGTGTGTGTTACATTGTCATCTCTCAGTGAAGGAAGGGTGTGTGTGTGTGTGTGTTACACTGCCATCTATCAGTGAAGAAAGGGTGTGTGTGTGTTACACTGCCATGTGTCAGTGAAGTAAGGGTGTGTGTGTGTGTGTGTGTGTTACATTGTCATCTATCAGTGAAGGAAGGGTGTGTGTGTGTGTGTTACACTGTCATCTATCAGTGAAGGAAGGGTGTGTGTGTGTGTTACACTGTCATCTATCAGTGAAGGAAGAGTGTGTGTGTGTGTGTGTGTTACACTGCCATCTATCAGTGTAGGAAGGGTGTGTGTATATGTTACACTGTTATGTATCAGTGAAGGAAGGTTTGTGTGTGTGTGTGTGTGTGTGTGTGTGTGTGTGTGTGTGGTTGGGTGAGTGAGAAAGAGAGAGATACCAGTGAAGGAACAGAGAGGCTAGGTGGTTCCTGACTCAGCCTATAACCTCCTGGACATGAATATGCATGGGAAACCAACCTCAGCACCCAGCTGGAATCAGAAGGCAGAGGAAGATGTGCCACTACAAGACAATACTTATGTGTCAGACACCATTAGCAGTTCTGAGAGTTTGGAAGAAGAGGAAACAGAAGCCCAAATCAACAAAGCCATTCCAGGATCAGGGTCTAACTTTGGGAGTGGATTTGCCATCAAGCAGTAAAGAACAGGCTGACAAAGACCAAGAACGCTGGCAAGGCTGTGAATGCTGTGCCATGCCATGTCTCTGAGAAGTGAACAGCTCCACTCCTCTCTGGGATATAAGCCAAGAAGTCAGAAGTTATCAACTTCCTATTCTACTAGTAATTCCTAACCACTTTATCTAACTTTACTCCTCTTTATGTTTTACCTTATTCAGGCAAATCAAAACCACCTTCCAGCCCAATATAAAAACCTAAGAGTCATATTTAAGTATGACTACTCTGTAACATAAAATCACTCACTAATCTTATGATTGAGGTTTTTTTTAATATATTGTGAATACAGTGAGGATCTCCGTTTCTCCACTGTTCCTCCCTGGTTCAAGATACCACCAGCTCTCCCTGGAAAAACTTCTACTATCTCTTAACTGGTATTACCATTTACACTTACCCTCTGCTGTCTAGTCTCAACAATCTATGTGATCTTTTAAAAATCTGACATAAAAATCTCCATGCTTAAAACCTACCAATAGCCCTAATTATATTTCTTAAATTTGTTTTATTTAATTGAAAAAATAAAGTTTAATTAAAATATAATCTGCATTTACACACTTTTATGTGTATCATGTATACATACACTTCTATTAAATTTTGTGGAGAATGAAATTCAAAGGTATATTTATTTTTAGAGTTACTATTTAAGAATAAATGATACATGGATTGGCAGAAAGTATGATCTTATTAACCTTGTATTTCAAGTGTAACCTTACATAATGATTAAAGAGATGTGTAAATTAATAAATTTTATTCCCCACATCACTACTCTTTACTTCCTTTGCTCCCAAAAAGCAAATGAAAAGTCCTTCATTATTCAAAAGCAAGAAGACAGGGCTTAATAACAATTTAGCTAGAAAAGAAATGCCGGTGGGTAAGTGTCACAGTGGAGCTGAGAGTTTGTATGAAAGCACTTTTGAGAGCATCTACAACAGCTTCAAAAGTGTGGTTTTATTGTTTTACTAACATTATCTAAAACAATGTCTACCAGTGATGGGGAAAGGGAAAAGTTACCATTGGTTTGACTTACAGAGACCTTTCTTTGAAGACTTCCAAGAAGTCACAAATATTTTATCCTCATGCTCCCCTCAGACAACATGGTGATTGGCCCAGCAAGAAGCAGCGGGGCAAGGAGCCAGCAAGTGCTGGAAGAGGGACTACAGAACAGCCTACGAGGATAGAAAAAGCAAGAGTAGAAAGTGGAGAAGCCGGAGAGGAATCTGGCCCAGCTACAACCATTTCCATAGAGATAAAAAATGTCAGCGCTGACAGGGGTGGGAAAAGGTGGCAACTGGTAGGCGGGATGTGGCCATTACCTCCAGCAGAGCTCGTCAGGGTGCGCCCTCCTGCTTGCCCAGCCGTGGGCATGGAGGTGAGTGGCCCAGCCCTCTAAAGGAGGATGGCCGGGTTCCGGCTCTGCACTGGATCCTCGGGGCGGTCAGGGTCCCTCCTCCTGCTTGGCCAGGCCATGGGCAGGGAGGAGAGTGGCCTCTATGCACTGAGAGCGCTGCCACTGCCTCTTAGCAAAAGAAGGTGCCGGGTTCAGCCTTCGCAGCCGCTTCCCTGTCTGTGCTCCAGGCCCGCTACACCCTCTTACACATTACCTCCGAATTTGGCGCCAATGCGGCCTTCAAACAGGGTCCGTGTCTGCCATGGGCAGCATGCAGGAGTCTGGGCTCTTGCAGTGAGCGGGAGAAGGGATGGCCTGTGTTGGATGCGGAGTACACCTGGGGTCACGGGGAAGGAAGCTGGTTTTGTCCGCGAAAGGTAGATTCATGGCCCCAGTGCCAGGTGCAGTCAGGGCCTCCACACTGGGAGAAGCCTACATGGTGCTCTTCCCAGACCCTGGGGCTGGGCGGCTGAGCATGCGATTGGCTGAAGCGCATGCGTTGGTTCATGTGGGAGTTTAGGGTGAACTACAAACGCTCAAACTAGACAGGGTCAACAAATGCAACAGTCAAATTTTCCTCTGGTAGCACTGTTTTCCCTATTTTATATGTGAGGTGCCTAAGGTAACACAATATCTGTATGACAAATCCTTATACTCTCCTTTGTGGTTGTGTACTCTGAAAAAATTGCTTTTAATATTAAATATTTCTTCCAGGTTTAGTGTTAAAATTATATATGAATGGGGATTTTTTTGAGACATTACACTTGTGCTAGCTTTTATAATAATAATGCCTTTGTGAGGCTTAGTTTTCT